AGAGAGAGGTCAACGACCTATATAATTCCACCTTAAGAGGCTAAAAAGTGAAAAAGCAAAGAGACCATTAAATAGAAACAGAAAGCAACAGAAAAAATACCATGTAGCACAAGCCATCGCCTACTGCACCCACCCACCTAAGAACCTCAATGTACCTCGGTGAAGGCAAGCTGTGGTTCCAGCCATTCTTTTGAGCTCTTGACTCTGGGAAGTGTGGCAGTTACCAGATCACGGCTGCCTACGTTTTTCATTGTGGCCACGAGAAACAGAGACCCTAGAAAAACTAAAAGTCGTTTAGTAATTAAAATTCACAGACATCATCTTTTCTGTTTAACAACCAATACTTTTGACTTTGAGCGGATGTGAAATGGGGTTTGAACACTAGCCAACCACGTTTTTTCTAACAAGAGGCTTCCCCACAAGGTGTGATTTTTTGTTTTAGACAAGCTCCCACTAAGTCGCTTTGCTGAGGCTGGCCTCGAACTTCCAATTCTCCCGCCTCGGCCTCGAGAGCCGCTGGGCCTGCACCGTGCGCTCTGCGCCCAGCCCCCGCAGGCTTTAGACGGCGTCTCCAGAGCCAGACGTTTTGCAGCAGGTGTGACTCTCTGAACTCACGCCCAACCTCTTCTCCTACAAGTGCCCCCAAACCAGCCAGCGGGCAACAGCCTGGCCTCGAGGGTGCCGTGTGCAGCGTTCTCTACCTTTTGTAGCCCTGTGTGCGAGAACCGCACCTTTCAGGCTACCGGCGCGCAGGCCGAGCTCCTTAGAGAAGGGAAGCTGGGGCTTTGGGCAAAATCTGCGAGTCCTCAAACTCCGAGAGACCACAGCCTCCCCAGGGCCTGCGTCTGCGGCAGAGGCTGTCGGTAGGCGCACGGGCAGATCTAGGCGCCCTCTCCGGCACCTGGGGCGCGGGGCGCGCGCGGCCTCCCCAGACCTGGGCTCCGCGCCCTCGGCGTGCACCGGCCACTTGGCTGCGCCGCACCACGCTGGGCCCCGGGCCCGAGAGCCGCCCGCCCAGGCCTGCGGCCTCAGCCGAGCGCGCGCTTTGGAACGCACGGACGTTCGCTTCCAGTGTCCCCGCGCCGCAGCCCCGCGCGGCCCCTCCGCCGCGGAGGACGTCACCAGGCTGCGCAGGGGACGCCGAGGCGGGCGGAGGACTGCGAGACCCGGAGCCGCGCGACGGTCGCGGTTCGGCCGACTGGTCGGAGCACCGGCCCCTCCGCCCGCGGCGGTTGACCTGCCCGACCTCGCCACGCCCGACGTCTCTGTACCCAGGCGTCCGCTCCCTCAAGTCCTTGGTGCCTAGCGTGCGTCTCGGGGCCAACGGGGCTGGAGATTAGCCGCCCGCACCCCGCTCCCAGTCCGGCTCCGACCCCCCGCATCCCCGTGACCAAACTACTGGAAGGGAGCGGTGGGGAAGAGGCTTCTGCCCTCGGTATCCCCGCGGTGGATGAGTTGAGCTGCTGAGCACCGTCCAAGATGTTGGGTCTTGGGCGGGAAATGTTGGTTTAAGGGACTTTAATGTTGACTTAAGGGACTCCTTTTTACTCCCGGGGGTGTTGATCAGTGTCTATCCTTGGCGCAGGTGCTGGTCAGCGGGAAGGGAACGTTGAGGATTCATAACTCATTTAGCTCCGTAGTTTTCCGTTCTGGCTGCTTTGGAGTTCAGGGTTTTGGGTTTGGGGGTGCCACCATGTTGAGTTTGTTTTTAAATCCCAGGTGATTTTCATGCAAACATAACTGGAAAGCGCTGATCCTATGCGATTTTCCAAACAGCCTCATAACCCACTCTGTGTGAACAGTGATTTTCTATGGTTCTGTTTTCCTCCTTGAGGGGTGGATGATGGGCCACCATTTCCACTCTTCATTTTTTTTCAAAGTACCCACGCTGATATTAAAGCTGTAGGGAATGTTTTAGAAACATTTTGCATTCTCAGGCCTTTTTAAGAGGTAGCCAGAGTAGATGGCTTCATCTGTAGTTCCCATTTCAGATCTAAGGGAGCATGAGCCACTTGCAGAACTTATTGTTAGATAGTCTCCTGGGAACGAAGCATGTGGACAGCGCAGCCCTCATCAAACTACATGAGCGGAGCGTGTGTGTCGCATCGCCAGGATTTAGTGTAAGAAAAAAAAAACAAGTTTGGGCATAAGACTTTTAAATGAACTTTTCCTATAAAGAGCTAGCATAATTATATGGGGTTTATGGGCCACATAGTCGCTGTCAGTCATTCTACTTTGCAGGAGTAATGGAAAAACTAAAAGAATGGGTGTGTCTATGTTCCAATAAAACCTTTAGGGGAGCCGGAGAGGGGAGAGGGGGGTTTGCTGGGGATTGAACTGGAGGGCACTTGACCACTGAGCCACATCCCCAGGCCTGTTATTCATTCAGGAGATGAAATTCATGTCCATATTTCATTTAGAGACAGGGTCTCACTGAGTTGTTTAGTACCTCGCTTTTGCTGAGGATGGCTTTGAATGCACCATCCTCCTGCCTCAGCCTCCTGAGCCCTTGGGATTATAGGTGTGGGCCACCAGCACTGGCTAACACGTTCTTTATAAACACTGAAATATGAATTTCACATGTCACAAGGTGATGTTCTTTTGATTTTTTTCCCCCCAACCATTAAAAAATGTAAGAACCATCCCCAACTTTCAGATCACAAACAGGCAGTGGCTACTGGCATAGTTTGCTAACTCCTGGTCTATTTAACCTCCACAGCTAATGCCGAGTGATATCCGGACACTTGTGAATGGATTTGCCAAAAACCCTTTGCAAACCCGCAGAGAAGGGTTGTATTTCAAGGAGAAGGATTACAAATGCGTCAGGGCAGATGACTATTCTCTTTATGCTAAGAATGTGAGTGTTCAAAATTTGAAGACAGCTGTGTAAAAAGCTTAAGAATTTGACTCTGATTTTCTTTGTACTTCCTGAACATCTCCATAAAACAGATTAACCTCATCACTGCCTTGAACAGTCTAGTGCCAGGAAGGCATATCTGAAAGAAAGTACTATCAGAAAGCCTTGTTCGACAAGCATTCATTCCAGAAAAATCAACTGAAGCTCGCCTGAACTCTCTCTTTCCAGGACAGTCCATCTTCATACTCTACTTCTTCCTCCTTAAAAAAAACAAAATGATACTAGTTGATTATTTCTTATCATAAACGCTTAAGACCAGAAGTGTTGCAGATTTTAGAATCTTTCATATTTTGGGATATTTGCAGATATATAAGATTCCTTGGGAATGGTACACAAATCTAATCATGAAATTTATTTGTTTTATATAAACCTTCTAGACATAGCCTGAAGGTAATGGTATACAAAATTTCAGTGTGCCTGCAACTGTACTGTGACCTGTCACATGAGGTCCATGGGTAATTTTCCACTTCTAGTATTTAAAACTTTGGAGAATTTCAGATTTTGAAATTTTTTTTTTGATTAGGACCTCTTGGTGTTCTCTTACCTATAAGGAATTCAGGAGATGAAATTCATGTCCATTGGATGTCTCATATTATGAGTTCAGCACACTTCACATTCTAAACAAAATAGCCTCCTTTTACAGAGGAGGCAAAGCAACTGAGGCTTTAAAAGGATAAATAATTCCTCCATAGTCATGCAGCAGAAAATGGAGGTTCTAGAATTCCAGCCCAGAGCCAACGAATTCCAAGATGTATTGCCTCTGTGTTATGTCAGTTGTTCCACTGGGTTAGGACCTTTGCAGGGCTTTCTATTTTATTCTTTATCCAGGACAACAGAGGTGTGATTGTTGTGAAGACCCATCTGTTTCTTCTGGTGGCCACTTATATTGAGGGAATGTATCCAAGTGTCTGTGTAGAAGCCACAGAGAAACTGGGTAAGTTTGCCTCCCCATGCCTGTCATTAGTTCCTGTGTGTCAGGTCTTCTGAATACAAGTAACAGTGACCCAATTCAAACCAGGTAGGGGAGAAAGGAGGAATTTACAGAAAAGATATTGGGACTGTTGAATCACTGTTGAAAGAATAGTCACTGAGTCACAGGCAAAGCAGATGCCAGGAATGGGAACACTGCTAGGACTCTTGTCTCTGCTTCCAACTCAACTTTATTCTGTCCTGTTACAAACTACCTCTTTCATGGCTGGTATCAGGGCCAAGCCTCCCACCCTATCCCTTAATTTCTTCTCTTAGGACCCTGACTTGACAAGTCCAGGATCATATGATTTATCCCATTATTAATCAACTATGGAGGAGGGGTGGAATGAGGGAGCAGGTTAAAAAGCAGATAAGTAACTGCTGGCCCACCTTCTCTGAAGGAACCTTTTACAGAAAGTTACTAGAAGCCAAGTAGCCACCTTGTTGGTGTGCATATCATTCCTCGTCTATGTCTATACCTGCCCCCCCCCCAGTACTGAGGACAGAACCCAGGGCCTCATACGTGTTAGGCAAGCACTGAACTATACCCCACCAGTTATTATTATTATTATTATTATTATTAGTTGTACACACAATATCTTGTTTATTTATATGTGGTGCTGAGGATCGAACCCAGTGCCTCACATGGGCAAGACAAGCGCTCTACTACTGAACTACAACCCCAGCCCAAACACCCCAACAGTTTGAAAATTTTATTTTGATATAGAATCTCACTAAGTTTCCCAGACTGGCCTCAAACTTGCAATCCTCCCGTCTCAATCTCCCCAAGTAGCTGAGATTACAGGTGGACACCATTATACCTGGCTTTGTCTATACATTTTTAATATAGATCTAATAGAGAACTAAGGCAAAATTTGAGGTTAGTAAATAGCAAACTGTTCTGTGTTTTATAGTCTTCTAAATTTCAAATTCTTTTAAAAAATTATTGAAATTACATAAACACTCCTTTGAAATAGTAGACATGTCTTGCAAGGAAAGCCATCCAGTCATCCTTGTGTCTCCAGTGCCTCGCACATAGTAGGCACAACATTGTTTAAATAAATAATATGGTAAGATAATTTACTATTCATTAATAATTACCAAGCTATGTTTTCTTTCAGGAGACTATCTAAGAAAAAAAGGACATTAAGTCATAAGAGGACTATAAAAGACAACTTTTTCATTTTAGAAGAAAACTATAGATCCCAAAGAAACAATGTCTTATTTTGTGGTTGGAAAACACAAGGCAGAAGATACCCAAAAAGAAGACTGAGTTAAGGGGGCAATTTTTCTTATTTCAATAGATTATCTTTGATTGGAATTACTTGATTAACTTCTTTTTCTTTATTGTTAGTTTTGTTTTATTTTGTTTTGTCTTGGCCATTGGCATGACAAAACAAAATGTGTGAGAACACTGAGAAAACTGTTGGGAGTTTTATCTCTATGAGGCTCTTGTACTCCTCACACCAGATAGACCAAGAATGCAAGGCCCTAACCACTCTTTATCTAGATGACTACTCAGAATGACACTGCAGCAAGCAACCTTAAAAAATGATATGTTTCCCTTCAAGGTAAAGAGCAAACTTGGTCATTGCTTGCTATAAAATAAGTAGAGTCCCTGAGCTCAACATTCCTCTCCTATAATGTAGTTTACTGAATTTGTGACATCCCTCTGGTCTATATCACCAGTGTGGGATCTAGAAGTAAGGGGAACTTAATGCCACCCAGCAATGGGCCACTAGTCAAAGTGTTAGATGAACATTCCATATTCCATCTGAAAACATTTGGTATTATTGACTATTGTGCAGGTCTTCTCAAAAATCAGGGATTTCTGACTCTACTTCCCTCACTACATCCTAGTCCACACTACTTAATAAGAAAAAATGGTCACTGAATGCAGCCTTTCCAAGAAAGGATTCATCTTCTTCTTGGTCAGTTCCTGGATAATGATCAAAATGATAAGTTAGGGGCTAGGGTTATAGCTGAATGGTAGAGCACTTGCCTCGCACATGTGCAAGGCACTGGGTTTGATCCTCAGCACCACATAAAAATAAAATAAATAAAGATATTGTGTCCATCTTTTAAAAAAAACTTTTAAAAATGGTATTTAAAGAAATACCATTTTGGAAATTTTGGATTTACTCTGACCATTCCTGGACATGATATATCTTTGTTTCTCCAAAAGGCAACCCCAGGACAGTCTGATTAGTATACTAGTATAACTAGACTGTTAGTATACTCTTCAGATGTTCCCTAGGGAGGGTATGACTTAGACCACTGGCCAAGGCAGAAGAGACCTAGGAAATTCAAGCAATTTTTAAAAAAATTTTTTTTTACTTATCAATGGACCTTTATTTTATTTATATATGCAGTGTTGAGAATCGAACACATGCTAGGCAAATGCTCTGCCATAGAGCCACAACTCCAGCCCCCAAACTTAATTCTTGATTAGCCAGCATGGACTGGCATGATTCTATATCATAAGGGTAATGACTCTCTAAAGAGCATGCTGTTTTCCAGGTCCCTCTAACTGTATAATACATGGAGTCAAGTGGGGATATAATGGGTCCCTAAATTTTGTAAAGCTACCCCTGACCCTCTCATGTCTGACCCTTCCAAATAAAATGTCTGGGTGCAAGTAGGGCATGATTGGAGAAAAATGTAGGTATAGCAACTGGGATGGGATATACCAATTATATGGCCATGGAGGCCCTGGTACCTGGAAAGAGTACATCTTAAGCCTCCCAAGATAGGGAAATGCAGAAACGCCTTAATCCTTTTTTTTTTTCTTCTAGTGCTGAAGGTCAAACTCAGGGTCTCATGCATGCTAGGCAAATGCTATACCACAGAACTACATTTTCATTCCCTCCTTAATACTCTTTTTGTCCCCTCAACTTGGTAAAATAGTTATATGGTCTACGTTACTGACCTTGGTAAATAGATTGAAATGAAATCTTAGATCCTTTGCAGTTCTTTACACCAATAGGCAGCAAAGTGCAATATTCCAAATTCCAAAGATAGTGTGCTGGGGAAAATCGTGTTTTTTAGTGTTTATAAAATTCTCTCATTTTCAGGTTTTGTGTAACAGTTGTAACAGTCTTTCAAAGAATTTATTTCCAGTATCATTCCTTTTCTGAGTGTGGGTGTTAAGAGCCAGAGATTTTTTTTTTTCTTGGTCAGCCTTATTACTAGTCCAATTCGTTTGTTAATTCAGTTGCTTGATTCTTATTTTGGATGAAAGCTTACAATGTAAGGATTGTAGGGTGCCAAAAGAAAGGAAAATTCCAAATATTTTAAAATGTAATAACCTTTTCATTCTCTATTGTTCAAAAACGCATCATATGGCTGGACATGGTGGTGCTCTCTTATAATCCCAGTGACTCAAGAGGCCGAGGCAAGAGAATTGCAAGTTCAAGGCTATTCTCAGCAACTTAGCAAGACTGTGTCTAAAAAACAGAAAGAAGGAAAAAGGAAAAAGAAGGACTGGAAATGTAGCCCAGTGGTAAAGTAGCCCTGGATTCAATCACCAGTACTGAAAAAAGAATCCTATGAGATTCTTATAACAAAAAGGACAGTCCTTTTCCAATAAGAATGTCAACAGATTTTTTTCTTTTCTTTTTTTCTTTTTTTTTTTTTTTTTGGTACTGGGGATTAAACTCAGGGGCACTCAACAACCACTGAGCCACATCCCCAGCCCTATTTTGTATTTTATTTAGAGACAGGGCCTCACTGAGTTGCTTAGGGCCTCATTAAGTTGCTGAGGCTGGCTTTGAACTTGCAATCCTCCTGCCTCAGTCTCCTGAGCCACTGGAATTACAAGTGTGCACCACAGATGTTTTTTATAAATGATGTATGTCTGCAGTTCCAAGATATTAGTGAAAATATATTTAAAGCATGTGATAAGATAAACAGATATGATCAATAAAATAGCAAAAAATATATTGGAATTAACATTTTTACTTTTTGAATCCTCCTGAGTATGTAAGTGTAAACAAGGTGCACTAAATGAAAAAAAAAAAGATATAATTTATAATCATGATAAGTCTTCAAAAAGCTTATTGGTATAATTCCAGAAACTGAGAACTTGAATGACACTTTTGACTGAGTAACAAATCCTTTACAAACTGGATGGTTTCCAAGTCTTCGCCTTTAACTAAATTGGAGCAAGACCTAATTAAGCTGTTAGCTAATAGATCATTGAAAATAATTTTTGATAGATCATTATATGGTTTTTATCATATAACTCAGATATTCAAAGAAGTAGCTGGCATTTCTATAATGGAATTTCTTATCTGATTTATGCAAACTAGGTTTCTCAGAGCTTGCCTACTCAAATGAAATATTGGAAGAGAATTAATGTTGAACTCAGTCCCATTGTAGCAATAACTATTTGCTATAGTCATAACTATATAACTATAGATATGACTATTTGTTTACTTTCTGTTTAATAATTACTAATATTTAAAATAATACATGTTTTCGTAAATTGTAGACTAATAATATTGTAATGATAAATAAATACAGAAGAAATTTAACTTTTAGAATCTGCTGGTTATAGGAAATAATTTTTTAAAATTAGTTTCAGTTTATATACATATTTTTGTTGAAGATAAGAATGATGGAGGGGGCGCTGGGGATGTGGCTCAAGAGGTAGCGCGCTCGCCTGGCATGTGTGCGCCCGGGTTCTACCCTCAGCACCACATACAAACAAAGATGTTGTGTCTGCTGAAAACTAAAAAAATAAATATTAAAATTCTCTCTCTCTCTCTCTCTCCCCCCCCTTTAAAAAAATAAGAAAAAAACTTTAAAAAAAAAAAAAAAAAAAAAAAAAAAAAAAAAAAACCAGCACATTGAGAGGGAAAAAGATGTTGTGTCTGCTGAAAACTAAAAAAATAAATATTAAAATTCTCTCTCTCTCTCTCTCTCTCCCCCCTTTAAAAAAATAAGAAAAAAACTTTAAAAAAATGATCAGGGGGCTGGGGTTGTGGCTCAGCTGTATAACACTTGCCTAGCACATGTGAGGCACTGGGTTTCATTCTCAGTACCACATAAAAATAAATAAATAAAATAAAGGTACTGTGTCCAACTACTACTAAAAAAAAATAAAAATAAAAAGAATGATCAGTAGGCCAGGTACAATGGCACATACCTTTAATCCCAGCTGCTTGGGAGCCTGAGGCAAGAGGATCGTCAGTTCAAAACCAGCCTTCACAACTTAGTGTGAGGCCTTTTAAGCAACTCAGCAAGATCCTATCTCTAAATAAAATATTTTTTTAAAAGAGGGGCTGGGGATGTGATTCAGTAATTGAGTGCCCCTGGATTCAATTCCTGATACCAAATAAATAAATAAATAAAAGATTGACCAGTAAAAGCTCGGCATGGTGGAACATGCCTGCGATCTCAGCTACTTAGGAGGCTGAGGCACAAGGATTGCTTGAACCTACAAGTTTAAGATCAGCCCAGGCAATATATCAATATCTTGGCTTAAAAGAAAGCATAAAATGTAGCAGGATATAATTCTATGAGAAAACCTGCTGAGAGCCATAGCCAAGTAGGAATGAAGCATGGCATTTTTGGTTGAAAGGTGATGATAATGATTATATTAAGATGTGCATTCAATTGGAGATTAGACCCCTGCTGTCCGCCTAGGCCTGCTACTTTGGAGCTCTCAAGGGACTCCTGGAGAGTTCCCATTGGTTGGGGAAGTGTGGTAGGAGGGAATTCCGGAGGAGGGATTTCCTGTTGGTGTAGTGTGTCCTGTGAGAACACTGAGTGCGTGGTTCGCGGGAGAATTCCCGGGGAGCATGTGTGGAGTGTGCTGGTGGAGTTCAGAAATAAAGTTTGTACCTGCTTGAGTGGCTCGTGATTTTGTGCCCAGCCAGACTGTGGCAAAAACCAGAATAAAAGTATGGGTACTACAAGAAAAATGAAAATATAAAACTTCCAACTGCTAAAGAAGAGCCTGTTTGAGTCTTTTTTTTCTTTTTTTTTTTTATTGGTTGTTCAAAACATTACAAAGCTCTTGACATATCATATTTCATATATTAGATTCAAGTGGGTTATGAACTCCCATTTTTACCCCAAATACAGATTGCAGAATCACATCAGTTACACATCCACATTTCTGTTTGAGTCTTTAGTGAAGTCTTGTAAAGAAATCAAATTCCATTTTATACATTTAAAAGTGTGAAATAAAAAGAAAAATGAAATTATGTCATTTGAAGGAAAATGGGTGAACCTAGAGACCATTATATTAAATAAGTCAAAATCAGAAGGTTAAGGGTCCTGTGTTTTCTCTAATATGCAGAAGCTAGAAAAGAAAGAGGAAAAGAATGGTAGGGGCCAGGATCTCATGAAAATCCAAGGGAGATCACCAGAGGAAAGAGGGTAGGAGGTGGAGAGGAAAGGGGGAAGTGATGGGGACTAATCTTGGTTGAATTATACTGTTATATAGGTATTGGGGGCATGTACGAATATGTAACAGATCCCATCAGTATGTATAACTGTAACACCAATTTAAAAATGTAGAACAAAAATAAAACAAAAGTATAAGAAATTAAAATGTCAGTATTGATGACCAGAAATCAATATCTTTGGCAACTATTTAAGATGAAACATTTTAGATATCAACCTAAAAAATATAAGTGTAAGATCAGGCAAGGCAGGCAGTGACCAAAGGAGGCAGATTTAAAAAGTCCACCCAAGGAGACTTTATTGAGATATCACTCCCGTGAGGAACTCATCAGACCGACAGAGTAGATAGGAGAAGGGTCTGAGGAGAAACTATGTGGGAGCTTGACTGGACTGGAATTTTATGGGGGCTTAGGCAGGAAGGGAAAGGCTTGGGACAGGAAAAGGTGTTTTTAGGTCCCTTGTCCCACTGGAGTTGGTCAGGGGAGCTGGCTGAACTCCAGGATTGGCCAGGAGGTCTTGATGATTGACAGGCATTTCTGTCAGTGCCTGATTGATTTCTTTTCCATGCTGCCTGCTTTGTTATAAGTCACCTCCACCCACCTAACAATAAGAAGGAACACATAGTTTTTGAAAATTCTTTTTGTCTATATGAGAATTAAAAAGTGTGAAGAGCACCACCAGATTAAGAAGAAATACCTTGGCCCCTGAGTCATGGAGGATGGGTGCCCAGGAAGATGGCAAGTAGCTAAACAGGCAGCCTCGAGAAAACTGGGGTAGACCCAGGGGCCAACAGGCCAACTTCGAGTCCTTTCCTCTCCCAGAGCCTTCCCAAATCCTGGGTCTTGGGATTTGCTGGATCAGCCTCAGGGTAAAATGCCATGGAGACAGGGGAGGAGGAGCCCAGAGAAAGTCCTGCAGGCACAGAAGCGGGTATGGTACCCACAGTGAATTTCTCTGGCTTCCCCAGGGAGAGTGTTAGTCCTTAGGCTGTCCAGACCATGAATCACTGAAGCCAGATTTAAAGATAGGTAGTTAGTGTAGTTACAGGTCTAATATCAAGTAATGAATGAAGGCCATATTAAGAATGGAGTCCAGGAAAAGGAGAATTGAAAATGTTCTCAAGGAAATGTTAATGAAGCAGCTGTCCCTGGCCAGATTACACCTTTGGCCTACCTGTCTCCCACCCTTTGGGCCTTCCCCACCTACATTCCATCACTACAAGATACAAAAATGCAAGTGACAGGAATGCAGGAAATCTAAAAATAAACCTTAGCTATAAAAAAAGGGAAGAACTTCCCCTTCCATGGATTTCATCTCTTGAGTCCCCTTCTTCCTCTGGGGAGAAGTCTTTTCTGCTGTCCTTAATAAAGCTTCTACTTTCCACTCTACACTTGCCTCGGCATGCTTCTCTGGTGTTATACTTCAGCATTGGGGAAGCAAGGACTCCTCACTGGTAAACAGCGGTAACATCACCACTGAGCTACCGGGCCACCAAGCTAGGTCTTGGAACTAGAGAAACTACTGCCTCAAGGTGACTCAGCAGAACTTCACGGTGTAATGCAGGTTGCTTAAGATGAACAAACAGACAGCCCAGAACAAAGTCCCTCCCTGACCTGGGCCTGCTGCAGCAGGTTGCACCTATATCAGGAGGTGAGGCCCAGGCACCCCGGTTCTAGGAGGGAAACACTCTTGGCAGGATGGCTTCAGGTATGGCTCTCTTCCTTCTTAGCTTGTTGTACCCTCCTCTCTGGACAGTGTACAACTCCCTGGGAAGGCAGGCTGAATCTCAGGGAAAGGGCAGGGGCTGCACTGCACCACACCCTGGGCCACAAATTATGTCATACTGGCTAAATCTCCATTTCTTTAATTCCAAAACCAAGTAGCTGCATTACTTGTCCTCTTCATGCTGGAGAGGACTCAGGATGCGTAACCGCTGGAAATTTAGGGAGGGAAGTCACAGGTAGTGAGACATAAGGTGGCTGCAGTGACATAATAGGCCATGGGAGGCTGGTGTCAGGTGACCCTGATTTGATGAAGGGGCTTCTTTCACACCTGTCCCAGTCTCCTGCCTCTTCCCCATTTCTCCTCAGATAGAATGCTAGCTGTGTACTTCGACAACCCTGGGGGACCAGAAAATCTCTACATAAAGGAGGTGCCCAAACCGATCCCTGGGGAGGGTGAAGTCCTTCTGAAGGTGGCTGTCAGTGCCCTGAACCGCGCGGACTTACTCCAGGTATCGTCACTGGGGAATGGTAATGGGAGAGCTGCCTGAATAAGGAATTGACCCTCCAGCAGGTGGAGCCAGGTGTATCCAGATGGGTGGTTTGGGTTCTCCTCTAATCAGATTCCCGAGGGCTTCCAGCAACCCTCGATGCCTCACTGAGCTGGCCTTGGACACCCCATAGAACCCCACCTGAGGGTGTGCTGAGAGCGTCGGCATGGAAATCAGCAAGTAAAGAAACTGGTTCGTTTGGTGGCTGCAAGTGCCTCCACACTTGCAAGTGGATTCTTTTCTTTAACCCTCTCAGCTATCAAAGGAGACAGGTATTTTGATCTCCATGTCAGCGATGAGGAAACTAAGAATAGCCAGCAAGCGCCTTAAGCCAGAAACCTGGGATTCATTTGGTTTCTCTCTCTGCTCTTGCATCCATTTCATTAGCTTGCTCGGTGGTTTCCACCTCCACAAGAGATCTCAAATCAGGCCAGTTCGTCGTTTCGCTTCTGAAATGATGAGTCCTGGCCAAAGTCATCTTACCCCAGCGCTTGCAGCGCCCTCTGCAGTACATTCTCCAAATGGCAACTGAGGGAACAGACCGAGATCCCTATGCGCTTGGGATAAAATGGAAATGGCTTACCCCCAAGGGACCTGCAGCTTTGGAGGGCAGCACATCCTGCACCAGAGCTGGAGCTACTTCCCCTCCCCACAGCCATCCAGCCACCTTCACAATCCTTCCTGCCTCAGAGCTTAGTGTTTGCCTTTGTCTCTCAACCATTCTTTGGCTGTCTGCCTCCTTCTTTCATAGGTAGCTGGGCATTATGTTTATAGACCTTACCTTAGTCTGTATTTACATATTTATTTGTTGACTTCTTTAAAGTCTGTCTTCCCCCACTATATGTGAGTTCTAGCAGGTCAGAAGCCATCTGCCTTGCCTAGCACAGGGCTTGACACCAGGAAGCATGCAGTATTTGTTGTATGACAGATTACAAAGTAGAAGTTGGGTACAGTGATGATGCTTATAATCCCAGAGAAGTGGGAGGCTGAAGCAGGAGGATCACAAGTTTGAGATCAGCTTCAGAAACTAATCAAGGCCTTAAGCAATTTAGTGAAACCCTATCTCAGAGTAAAAGAAAAAGGGGGGAGGGGCATCTGGGGATGTAGCTCAGTACATCTGAGTTCAACCCAGATTGAACCCCTGATTTCAATCCCTAGTACCAAAAAAAAAAAAAAAAGAAAAAAAGAAAAGAAAAAGAAAAGAGCAGAAACAAAGTTTAAACCCAGATCCATTTGACTCCAAAGTCCACAGAGCTTGCTTTCAAGAAAGACGGAATCATTTGGGCACAGGAAGAAGCTATCTCCCCTACCTCCCCTGCTGTACCAGAAATAACACTGGATCCCCAAGCTAGGTTAGAATGGTTTCATGTGGAAGTTCAGAATCATGGGTAGCAGACAGAGGGCCTGTGCACATCTTTTTTTTTTTTTTTTTGTACCAGGGATTGAACCCAGAGGCACCTCAAGCCAGTGTAAAACCAGAGGGACACAGGTTCCTTTGTTTGGACCCTGTTTGGCTCCAAGGTCCCAGATTTTGCCAAGCAGCCATAAACTGAGTGCCTCACATGCTGTTGGCTGAAGTCCTGTGCCACAGAGGTGGGCCAGCACCTGCACAGGTAGAGAGAACATGAAAGCTAGTTTGTATAACATTCACTGCTGCAAGATAAAATTCTAGCTAGAAAAGATCCTGTGGTAGCCCACTTTATTATACAAACTAAGTTCAGAGCAGGAGACACAGGGCTGAGATGGCAAAAAGTCCACTTGCCAGCCCACCTCTAACCTCACCCTTCCTCTGGGGCCCCACTGACTGCTGGACTGAGACTGAAACTAGGGAGACATCATCTTGGATGGCTTTCTCTGGGGTTAATTATTTAAGTGACCATCTCTAATAAGGTTCCTTACGACAACTGTTTTTTTTAAAGACTATCCAACTTTTCTCCAATCCCAAAAGACAATACTTGAATTCCAAGCAGACAGCTACCTTCTCCCTCCAACAACAAGGAGGGCTGATACTTGACCCCATGTATCAGACCCACTTACTTGTCTGTCCCTCTCTTTGCAGAGACAGGGCCAGTATCACCCACCCCCAGGAGCCAGCAGCATTTTGGGACTTGAGGCATCAGGACATGTGTCAGAGCTGGGGCCTGGCTGCCAGGGGCACTGGAAGATTGGGGACTCAGCCATGGCTCTGCTGCCTGGTGGGGGCCAGGCTCAGTATGTCACTGTCCCTGAAGAACTCCTGATGAGCATCCCAGAGGGACTGACCCTGCACCAGGCTGCTGCCATCCCAGAAGTTTGGCTCACCTCCTTCCAGCTGTTACATCTTTTGGGTGAGGATGCCTCCTGCTCACTCCATGAGACAAGGCTCAGCTCCCCCAGGAATCAGTCTCCTCAAACTCCATTAGTCCTCCAGCCCCAGTGCCCTAGCTCCCCTGCTATACCAGAAATAACACTGGATCCCCAAGCTAGGTTAGAATGGTTTGATGTGGAGGCTCAGAATCATGGTTAGCAGGAGACAGAGGGCCTGTGCACATCTTTTTTTTTTTTTTTTTTTTTTTGGTACCAGGGATTGAACCCAGAGGCACTTAACCACTGAGCCACATCCCCAGACCCATGTATGTATATGTATGTGTGTGTGTGTATATATATATATATATATATATATATAGTTAGTTAGTTAGTTAGTGAGTGAGTGAGTGAGTGACAGGATCTTGCTGAGTTGCTTAGGGCCTCTCTAAGTTGCTGAGGCTGGCTTTGAATTCGTGATCCTCCTGCCTTAGCCTCCCGAGTCACTGGGATTACAGGCATGCTCCACCACTCCCAGCTTGTGTACATCTTAACACTGTGCACAGCAACAGTTCTGGCTCCTCAAAATCATGCTGAGCCAGTGCATCAGAAGGGGTTGGAGACATAGCTCACTGCAGGGCACTTGCCTTACACACTCAATGGCCTGGGTTTGACACCCAGCACTGCAGAAACAAAAAATTCAGAAGGGGCCAGTCAGTTACCTTGTTTATTCCTCCTCAATCCCACTGAGATCAGACAAGAGCTCATGTGAGAGAGCCTAAGAAAACTTGATCCCTGCCATCAGAGAGCTCAGTGTTACTTGGGACCTGTGCACAAAAATCAAACAACCATAGAGTTTGGAAAGGTATCCTGTCTCTAACTGAGATGGGAAAAGTTGGAGTGGGCAAGGGTTTTCAGAGGTGGGTTTGAGAACAAGAGGACTTAGTGTGAGTGGAATTGTAATATACAGAAAGCACATCAAGGTGGCCAAAAAAAGTATCAAGGTGAGGCCAGCTACTCCACTCAGAGGAGAAGGTGACTGTTGTGCAGACAGATTGTGGTGGTTTTGAATGCCAGGCTGCCTGGACTCAAAGGCAAGCCAGTGGAGAACCACTTTCCATTTGGGGAAGAAGTATCATAATGAGAGTTCCATTTTGGGAAAAAGAGCCTCGTGCCTCTATGTGGTGCCTGGATATGTAAGACCACTTGGAGGCCAGTTTCAGGCTAAAGGACTGGCTTCAGGTGGTGTCAGTGGGAATGGTGGCTATTCTTACTGAGTAGGTCAGACATGTGCATTTTGGTGTTATTTCATAAGTAAAACAGAGATTATGGATGTGGCTGCTAACAACCTTATTTTAT